GCAGAGGGATTCTTTGCGCCTGTCCTCTGTCCACCCCTTTCGTGTGCCTCATGTTGTCGAGACTGCTAGGGCACGGGCGGCACTCGCAGCGGACCAACCCGCGACTGCGGTCATTGTCAGGGCCGCACACGACGCGCAGCATTGTAGGTCCATCCATCTGCGCGACCATCTCCAGCCAAGACCACGGCACTTTGACAGTGTGGTCCCAGTCCCAATCCCTGTTGTCCTGCGCCTTCCCCTTTGCGCGGTACTTAAGGATCTTCGAAATTTCCTCCGCAACTGCGGTACCTCCGAAGACGGGCGTGCGGCTGCCGAAAGGGTTTTCTCGGTCTTCGTACTCGTCTCGGAACCACTTCAAGGCCGCGTTGTGCTGCTTATAATTGCCGTTCCAGTTCGCCCTGAAGTTCTCGAAGAATTCCAACTTGAAAATTGGCAGCGGCTCATTGCGCACAATTTGAAACAGCGCAACTGCGCCTTGTTCTTCGCGCCCTGGGGGAAGCAGGGGACCGCCTCCTTTGCCCGCCGCTGTTGCGGCCGCGGGCTCCGCGGCAGGAGAACCTGCCGAGGCACTCGAGCGGCCACCTTCCCATGCATTCCACCAGCCACCCTCGTCGTCCCACCAGCGGGCGCCCTCCATTCCCCAACCCTCGCATCCGTTGCCGCCCCATCCGCCGCCCTCCCATCCGCGACTGCGGTCACTTCCGTCGCCGCCATCCTGCGCTTTTCCTCTCCATCCGCCAAGAGAATCTCCGCCGCCCCAGCCGCCACTGCGGTCACCTCCGCCGCCGTATCCGCCACTGCGGCCGCCCCAACCCCCACTTGTTCCCCAACCGCCGCCGCTGCTCTTTGAAGAATCCGCAACTGCGGCCCGTGTTTCCTCTTCCGCTTTGTCATCCCACCCTGCACGCATCTCTGCCCCGACTGCAGGCCGCGGAGGCGGGCGCGAGCCCGCCCAACCGCCGTGAAACCTACCGTCGGCGCGGGCTTGAGCCGAACGTGCATGGAGGAGGAGGATGAGGAGGAGGAGGGTGAATGTGAGGAGGATGATGCGTTCCTGGGAGGTGTGCCTTCGCGTGCAACACAAGAGCCCTGAGAATTCCTGAGGCCCCTCCAACAGCCAAGGACGCGGATGACAAGAAAGTCGAGAAGATTGGGAACCGATTGAGGATTAAGAGGCGTGCGACGAAAGGGATGATGATGACGAAGAGGAAGATCAGTGAAGGGGAGGAGCGGACAGGAATTATGGAGGAGTGATAGCAGAGGAGGAAGAGGGGGAAGGGGGAGGAGGAGGAGGAGGAGGAGGAGGGAGAGGAAAAGGGGGAGGAGGAGGAGGAGGAAGAAGGGGAGGAGGAGGAGGAGGAGGAGGAGGAGGAGGAGGAAGAGGAGGAGGAGGAGGAGGAGGAGGAGGAAGAGGAGGAGGACGACGACGACGAGGAGGAGGAGGAGGAGGAGAGGGAGAAGGAGAACGGGGACAGGAGGACAAGGACGGAGAAATATAACAAATGAGGGGGAGGAGGCGGAGGAGGAGGAGGACGAGGAGGAGAAGCAGGAAGAGGAGGAGGAGAGGGGGGAGGAAGAGTGCGCGTGAGACTGGGAGAACGAGGTAATTAATTAGAGAGGGAACGGGGGAGGAGGGAGGACAAGGAAGAGCATACAGCGACGAGAAGAGGAAAAGGAACAGACGAAGGCTCCTGCTGATCGCATTTCCGCATCGTTCAAAGCAGTGCCGGGGCACTGCTTTGAACGACTGGTGATGTTCAAAGCAGTTCCCCGGCATTGTGTTCCATCGTCGCCGTTATAAGGGCTATCGGATTAGGCGAGAACCACATTTCGGGAAGGTTTCGGGAAGGAGCCGCCCTCAATCCGCGAAGCTCCTGCAGTGTTTTTTGATAGCGAATGTACGCGGCGCGAAGGCGAAAGCCACATTTCGAAAACCACCCGCTTCCAATCCGTGAAAGTGTTGCTTGTTTAAAAAAGGAGGTACGCGGCGCGGAGACGACAGCCACATTTTGAAAAGGAACCGCCCTCAGTCCGTGAAACTCGTGCAATTTTGAACACAGAATGTGCGCGGCGCCAGGGCGAGAGCACATGTTGAAAGTCATCCGCCCTCAATCCGCGAAGCTTTTGTCAATTTGTACAACAAATGTGCGCGGTGCTCAGGCGAGAGCCACAGTTTGCAAACTACTCGCCCTCCATTCGTGGCTCCAGGGTCATAAAATGGCGAGGCAAGCGAAACGCCCGGTCAACTGGCTTCGGGGTGCGACAGGGAGAAGTTGTTCACAAGGAGAAGGAATGGCGCAGGAATCCCCTTTGGACCACCCCGCCCCTGGCGCGCGCCGCCGGACGATCAGAGAGAGGCGTGGCTGCGTGAAGCTCAACCGGCGCATGCGCGACGCACTGCACCAGTGGCAGGCCTTCCACGACCGCTGCGGCCAGAAGCGCGGGATCTCCGCTGGGCCCTCGCCGGAGGCCGCGCCAGCGCCTCGTCGGAGGCGGTACGGCTGAAAGTGGAGGCTCGGCTGAGCTCGTAGGGCAGCTCGGATGAGGGCATTGCCGAGACACGCGAGCGGACACTGAGACAGCTGACCGCACGCCCCACGCCAATCAAGTGAACCCCCTTCCTACCAACCTTACACTTATGTCTGGCCAACACAGTTTTGGCCAGCGGCGGGGAATCGTACATCAGCTGCGTTGCCATGCGTAGCGTCATGATTATGTTGCGTAAGCGTATCAAACATCCTACATGCCATGATAATTAATCGTGTTACGACTATTTAACATTACCACTGGTATTATTACTACTACGACTGCTGCTACTAATACGACTTACTACTACTACTACTACTACAACTACTACTAGTACTAGTACTAGTACTAGTTCTACTACTACTACTACTACTACTACTACTACTACTACTACTACTACTACTACTACTACTACTACTACTACTACTACTACTACTACTACTACTACTACTACTACTACTACTACTACTACTACTACTACTACTACTACTACTACTACTACTACTACTACTACTCTATTACTACACTACCACTACCACTACCACTACCACTACTACTACTACTACTACTACTACTACGACTACTACTACTACTACGACTACTACTTCTACTGCGACTACTTCTTCTACTACTACTACTACTACTACAAATACTAATACTACTACTACGACTACTACTACTACTTCTACTTCTACTGCTACTACTGCTGCTATTACTACGATTACTACTACTACTACTACTACTACTTCTACTTCTACTACTACTACTACTACTACTACTACTAGTACTAGTACTAGTACTAGTACTAGTTCTAGTACTACTAGTACTTCTACGACTACTAATAATAATTCCACGACTACCACCACCACCACCACTACTGCTGCTACTACTACTACTACTACTACTACTGCGACTACGACTACGACTACGACTACCACTACTACTGCCATTACTACTGCCACTACCACTACAACTAGTATTACTACTAATACTTCTACTACTACTACTACGTGTCGGTGCTCAGTTGTTTCACGTAGTTTCGCATTCAATTTACATGCGGGTAGCCATTTCGAAAGTACGGCATTCGCGGGTACGTACATGCGCGAGGACGTGAGCTCGACAAAGGAATGGGGCTTACTAGAACATGAAGCGCAAAGGGAGCGTGGTTCTGTCGCATGCATTCTGTTCAGGCAATCAGACTCAGGGGCGGGCCTCGAGCACTTCTTGTTGTTGCTGGTGCCCCGGGGAACAATATGTAGCTCGCGTGCCGGTGCCAGCGGTGGAGAAGCTGTAGCTGTGCTTTTCAGAGACGATGTGCGCATTTTGTCCAGCCCCTCACACGTTTCCTGCCTCCCAGGGAGCTCCACCCATGGTCCAAGTGGATAAATGCATTCGCATGACGTCCCCGATCCAATTTCGGCACACCGTTCACGTGTATGTTGCCTGTTGGGAGCTCCAGCTATGGCCCCCATGGGTGCGTTCGCATGGCGGCCCGCGCGCATTTCGGCAAGCACACGCCTTACACATTCCTTGCCCCCCACGGAGCTGCACCGATGGCCCCAGTGGATGCGTTCAATGGGCGTCCCCGCGTTAATTTCGGCACACCTCTCACGCGTTTCCTGCTTCCCAGGGAGCTCCACCTACGGTGAAAGAGTGTGCCCAGGAGTCCCTAGACCCTGCAGGAATCCTTACCTGATGAGGGCGGCGTTCATACCCATTTCCACGCCTGAATTGGCGTTCCACGGGCTTTCGGATCCTGGTCTCCTTACCCAAGGGTTCCTTCTCCAATGTCTTCACCGTATGGCCGCAGTGGGTGCGTTTGCGTGGCGTCGTGAAAGCGCGTGCGTGAATGCAGGACGTCGAGCGTGCATTGGCGTTTTTGGCGAAGCGTTCACGGGAATCGCAGGCCCCTCAAAGTATTCTTATGTGTTGAGTGGTCTTGTTCATAATTGCCTCTTTTTGAGGATGGGTTGGGCGCTTCGCCAGTCGAATGTACCCGCTGGGGCGGTTTGCTGTTGCCCCTGGGAGGGTTTGTTTTCGGGCCATGGGATGGCCCTGCGAGGGCCTTGGGAGGACCTTGGGGAGCGCTCCGGCGGGGCCCCGGTAGGGGCCCTGGGAGTGCCCTGGGAGCGCCTTGGGAGCGCCCGGGGATTGCCAGAGCTCGGCGTTGCACTTGCTTCAAAAGGTCCGGCCATGAGTTTTGACGGGCCCGTGTTCGTGAGATGCTGACAGCGGGAGCCCGCGCCAAACCTCAGACCAAGCCCCGCATTTTTTTGTCAGACGGCCCCGCCATGCTAATTCGAGCCCGCCAAGCTCGAGACAGAATGTGGGATGAGGATGAATAGATTCGTAGATTGGGTTCCAGGCCTCCCCGTCGGCGTCGTCGTTGTTCTAATCATCTTTGGATCAAGTTCCTGTAGGATCGTATTTTCACACTACCTTGCGCTATCAGACACTGTGTCAGCGTCGCCCCAATGGCAGTGAAGGGTTGGATCTCCGTGCTTCTCGGGCTGCGTGGCGTTTTTGGTATGCAGCGGATGACGAGCGTGCCAAACGGCAGTGCCGTGAGCGATGAGGAAGCGGCGGGGGGGCTGAACCGCATCAGCAGCAACAGCAGCAACGGCGCTGCTTGCCAAGTGACGATGTATCAGCACGGCTGTTTCTCCGGCTTCTCTGCCACATACGGGGTCGGTTCGCATAGTTGGGTTGGCAGCAGCCATAACGACCAGTATTCAGCTATGTACATTTCGACGGACGCTTGTCGCGTGGTTATCTACCAGCACTCCTCTTTTGGCGGCTGGTCATGCTCCTACACGGGTGCTGGTTGTCATGGAGTGTGTTACAACGACCAAGTGAGTTCATTGAAAGTGTATGACGACTCGACGCCATCTCCGACGCCGTACCCGACGCCGTTCCCGACGCCGTACCCGACGCCGTACCCGACGCCGTACCCGACGCCGTACCCGACGCCGTACCCGACGCCGTACCCGACGCCGTACCCGACTCCGAGCCCGACGCCGAACCCGACGCCGAACCCGACGCCGAGCCCGACGCCGAACCCGACGCAGTACCCGACGCCGTACCCAACGGCCTTCCCGACGGCGTACCCGACGGCCTTCCCGACGCCATACCCGACGGCCTTCCCTACGGCGTACCCGACGCCGTACCCGACGCCGTACCCCACGGCGTTCCCGACGCCGTACCCGACGGCCTTCCCGACGCCATACCCGACGGCCTACCCGACGGCGTACCCGACGGCCTTCCCGACGCCATACCCGACGGCCTTCCCGACGCCCTTCCCGACGCCGAGCCCGACTCCCAGCCCGACGTATCCTCTGGGTTGGCCGACGCCACATCCGACGTTTTCCCCTGGAGCTCCCGTGGCGGGCGGAGCCGCCGGAGTTGCGGCTGCCACTGGCGACCCTCACCTTCAAAACGTTCATGGCGAACGGTTCGACTTGATGAAGGCGGGCACGCACGTTCTCATACACATCCCTCGTGGAATGAGCACTGAGGACGCATTGCTTCGGGTGCAGGCCGATGCGCGTCGATTGGGTGGACATTGCGAAGATATGTACTTCCAACAAGTGAACGTCACAGGTTCTTGGGCCGAGGCCAAGCGCGCTGGAGGGTACCATTACGACGTGTCGCAAAGTGAAGACGAGACTCCGCAGTGGGCTGCGTTTGGTCCGGTTCAGGTAAAAGTCGTTCGTGGACGTACGGGCAGTGGATTCTTGTACCTCAATGTGTACGTGAAGCATTTAGGGCGAGCAGGGTTTGCCGTCGGAGGACTGCTGGGGGAAGACGACCACGAGAACGTCATGATTCCCCCAGCTGCTTGTACTCAGCATACGTCTCTGCTGGAAAATCGGACGAGCGCCGAGGCTGCTGGCTCGTCATCGTCAGTTGCACTGGCAACTCTCAGTTGAGGACACGGGACACCTCAGAGGATGAGTGCGCGAGCAATACCTGCAAAACCGTTGCACTTCTGTGTTATGGAGCCGACGTCAACGGCGAAAGACAAAAAGGCCCCAGGTGGTCCTGGACAGCCCAGGGCAGCCCCAAGGCACAGCGTCTCGGCGACCTTCGCAGCGAGGAGGACGCCAGATTGGCACCACACCCTCGCATGTTCCCTTGATGCTGTTTGTGGACGCACCAACCAATTCCGACGCATTCGTGTTGTATCGCTTTTCAGTGCATGTGTCTTGTTGTGTGCTTCATGTTGTGGTGCTTTGCATTGCTCTGCTATGGGTGGTTCTGATGTGCACTGCATTGGCATTGTACGGCTTGCACTTCTCCATTACACTGACTTGCGTTGCGTTGAATTGCGTTGCATTGTCACTGTGTTTGCGTCCATGGAAATGTTTTGACTTTGTTTACGGTTTCAGTTGATTTACGTCTCTGTCGGTGCTGAGTTTTTTCACGTAGTTTCGCATTCAGTTTACATGCGTGTAGCGATTTCGAACGTACGTAATTCCTCGGTCTAAGGCATGCGCGGGTACGCACATGTGCGAAGACGTGAGCTCGACAAAGGAATGGGGCTTACTAGAACATGAAGCGCGAAGCGAGCGTGGTTCTGTCGCATGCATTCGGTTCAGGCAATCAGACTCAGGGACGGACCTCGAGCACTGCCTGTTGTTGCTGGTGCCCCGGGGAAAACATGGTAGCTCGCGTGCCGGTGCCAGCGGTGGAGAAGTTGTAGTTGTGCTCTTCAAGGACGATCTGCGCATTTTGTCCGGCCGAGAGTTTGTGTGTTCTTTCTCGCATCCTAAGTCGGTTTCTTGTTTTATCTTCTGCACATCCACCTGCGCAGGATCTCTCCTCCCCCTTCTCTTCCTCACCATCACCGTCATCATCATGATCGTCATCGTCATTATGATCATCATCATCACCATCAAAGTCATCCTCGTATTCACAATCAAGCTGCTCCTCATTATGACCGTCATTATCACAGAATCATCATCACCACCATCATCATCATCAGCACCATCATTATCATTGGCATCATCGTCGTAACATTTATCAACATCCGTATCAGCATCATCACCATCATCATCAGCGGCAGCTACATCATTATCACCATCATGAACATCATTATCACCATCACCAGTCTCATCGGTAAATCACCACTCATAATCATCATCAGTAAGCCCGTCATTGGCATGGGCCAATATCACAATCATGAGCACAAGGGGCAAATCGTGCGCCCTGGGCTTCTTGGGTTTCGATGGTTTCGCGATGGAGAGCGTGACGTTCCCGCACCAAAAGCCAATGGACGTTCTCGGGTCTCAGGGTATGGTTCCTTGTGGAAGGTCTCTTGTGGCCGAGTCCCTACTGCAGGGCGCGTGGATTCGCGACGGGTCCCGTTTCCGTACTGCGTCGGCGCGCCGCGTCGCCATTTGAGGCGGCATTGACCCCATGTGCAGGGGGGGGGCACGCTCGCCGATCCCCTCGCGCCAGATCCGCGTGTCCCCAATCGAATGGTGGAGCGCGCGCGCGACGGTGGAGCGGCTGGCGCACACCACAATCGCATCAGGGAGGGAGATCGGGGGTGGGGCGGGTGCAAACGCAGGCGATCATTTCCCCCCCCAGCCCCCTGGATTCTGATCGAAAAGCTTGGCCACTCAGAAAAAGGAGGGGGGCCCTGGGATACACCCAAGGGGGCTATTCAGACGCACCCCATATCGAGGATGGACGACCCCCATTCTATATCCCAGGGTTCCCCCTTTGGACGCCTCCCCATTCTATATCCCAGTGTTCCCCCCTTGTCATCCTCGTACCCTGGGGTACACCCCCTTGGGGCGGGTACGAGGATCATCGAGAGCAAAATAACCCCTAACCCTTTCAACACGATGCAGACGTGGCCTCACGTAGGTTCCCGTCTTCGCATTAGGGATAATCGATCTGGGCGGTTTGGTCTGGCACATCTGCAGGAACCCCCTTTATCCCTGATGGTTTGGCCCTCCCGACTTCAGTCCCCTTCCAGAGGGTCAGGGGCCTTTGCATTGCCAATCCAGAGATCCAGGGCATAGAGGCGCCAGCAAGCCTCTCGCCTGATCCGAGGCAACCTTCGGATTCTCCTCGAGGGGTGCCCTTTTGGGAGGGGTGGGGCACGGGGCGGGGAGGGAGTGGCGGGCCGCCCTCCGTGGTCTCCTCCGCCGGTCCTGCCCGCCGCCGCGCCCCCTGGCGAGGTCTCCAGCCGTCTGGAGCGGCGCTCGTCCCTCAGCGAGGAGATGCTGGAGGAGCTGAAGGCTGGCAGGCCCGGCCCGCACCCCTACGCGGACTCCAAGAGGGCACTCATGTTGTGGACGTCGGCGCGCGCGCAGAACCTCGCCTTCAAGGGTGGCCTGTTCTGCCACGCCGCCACGCCTGGGATGGTGGACTCGGACCTGGGCAGGCGCCGTCTGCGCATAAGAGTGACCCATCGCCGGAGTGACCTTGATTCGAGTAGGGGATCGACTACTGCAGATCTGCGGAGCAATGTAGGAATGTTTCGTAGAGATCGATGGGCGACAGATGTTGGGATACATCGATGCTGTAGTCGATCCCCTCATCGATTGATGCAGGCCCGCTTGGGCCCCCCGATCGCTGCATGCGATGCGACAGCAGCTGCTTCAGAGCTCGGGTTTGCCTCCCCGGCGCCCTTCGAAAGCCGCGCGCCAGAGGTCTTCTCTAACCCAAGGGCCCGGAGCCCCCTCTTTTAAGGGGCGAAGGACGGTATAAAATTAACTTTTTCGCCGTCGGGGACACCTCCCCCAGGGCGGCTGGAAAGTTTATACCCTTACGGTGCCACCGTAAGGGTATAAATTTTCCAGCCGCCCAGGGGCAGGTGTACCCGACGGCAAAAAAAATTATTTTATACCGTTCTTCGCCCGTTAACTCTTGCGTGCAGCCGGAGAGGCATTCTGTGCGGCCCTGGCTCTGGCCGCTGACGAAGCCCCTGCGGTGGCTGCTGCTCCGGTCGCCGGCCGAGGGCGCCCTTGCCGTGGGAGCCGCGGGCCTGCGGGCCAAGGCCCTGGGCTCCTTCGGCAGGTACCTGGCCGGGGAGGAGGATCGAGAGAGAGGCAGTTGCAACTCTGCGCGTACGAAATGGGCACGGAAGGAATGGGTACAATGCCCAACAGCAGCTCCTCTTCATTTGAGCAGGATTTGCTGTCCGCGCCGCCGCGGCCTGTGTCCATTCGAGACAGAAGGCCGCCTGCCCAACAGCGGCCGCTGTTGGCTTGGGACAGCATTTGTTGTTGGCCATAGTGCCCATTATTTCCGTACCCATTTCGGGTGTCCGAAGAGAGAGAGGCAGTTGCAATTGCAAGAGCATCAGGCGGTGGCGAAGCGTCCTGGCGTGCCTCTAGTTATTGGTCCACCAGCCAGTGCTCTAGGGATCTTTTTTTTGTGGTTCCCACGTAAGGTTATTGGAGCATGTCTTGCTTGGAGTGTCCTGTGTTGTCATATCAGGTTTGTGCTCTAAGAACATTGTTTTTGCTCTTGGAGCATTTTTGGGTTCTGAGTACATGTCGTGGTAGGCCTGTCGGTTTTTTTCGGGACCGTCGGTCCCCTCATGAGTATCGATGTTCGGATTTCGGTGCCCGCCGCGGATTTCCCAGCTACGTTCGGGCTGGACGAAAGGGGGGGATAGGGAAAGGGGGGGTTACAACATCTGCTGCATGCTGCTGGTTTCGGCCCCGCCGCCCGGCCCATTCCTCGATACATGGGCGCCTCCCGGCGCCAGGAGGCGTTGGGAAAATCAGCTACGTGATCTGATTCTCGAACCACCTCTTTGCTATCCCTCCCTTTCGCCCGGCCCGATACGTGATGGACCTCCCTCAAATTATCCAGTACCGATTTTTGTTTTGGGAACGCTTCACAGGATCAAGTCGCGACTGACATAGCGGACATCTGCGCTCAGAAGTTCATAGCGGGAACGATTACAATTGCGCTTGAAAATTGGTGGCGCTCGACCGGCATCGGTTTCGGCGCTACCGATTTTGAGCACATCGTCGCTACCGAATATCATTCGGCGCTACCGAATTGCATGTCGGCGCTGCCGAATTTCTTGTAGATTGGAATGCCAGGTTGCACCGATGATGAAGATGATGATGAATCTGATGACAATAATAATGATGATGATGATGATGATGATGATGATGGGGGCCTCTCCCGCAATGGGGGGGGTCTGGCTTGGGAAAATGAGTAGTGAGTAGTGAGTATGGACTAGTGAGTATGTAGCAGCTGGTAGTGAGGAGTGAATAGTGAGTTGTGAGTAGGGGGTGGTTCGCAGTGAGTAGTGAGTAGTGGGTTGTGGGGAGTGGGTAGTGATTAGTGTGAAGCGAGTAGGGAGTAGCGAGCACTGAATAGTGAACAGCGAGTAGGGCATTGTGAGTAGTGAGGGATGAGAAGGGAGTAGTCAGTAGTGAGTCGAGAAAAAAAAAGGAGTAGTGAGTAGCGAGCAAGGAGTAGCGAGAAGTGTATTGTGAGTAGTGAGTAGTGGGGAGTGGGGAGTGGGGAGTGGGGAGTGGGGAGTGAGTAGTGAGTAGCGAGTAGGGAGTAGCGAGTAGTGAATAGTGAGTAGCGAGTAGGTTCTTGTGAGTAGTGAGTAGCGAGGAGGGAATAGTCACTAGTGAATAATGACTAGGGAGTAGTGAGTAGCGCGTAGGGAGTAGCGTGGATTGAGTAGTGAGTAGGGCGTTGTGACAAGTGAGAAGCGAGAAGTGGGTAGTGAGTAGTGGGTATTGCGTAGGAGTAGCGAGTAGTGAGTCGTGATTAGTGCGTAGTGGGTGATGAGTAGTGAGTAGTTTGTAGAGACGATTGACCAGTGACTCACGAGCTGGGATTAGGGAGTAGTGAGTAGTGCGTAGTGCGTAGTGGGTACTGAATATTGCGTACCGGGTAGAGAGTAGCGAGCAGGGAGTAGCGAGTAGTGAGTAGTGAG